AACTTACACACTAAATGGTAGTAAATTAGGGATAACCACACACGAGAAGGATTTGGGCATTGTTATAGACAACAAATTAGGCAGCAATATGCAATGTCAATCTGTAGTTGCTAAGGCCAGTAAGATTTTGTCATGTATTAATAGGGGCATAAATTCTCGGGATGAAAATATAATTTTGCCTCTTTATAAATCGCTGGTAAGACCACACCTTGAATATGCTGTGCAATTTTGGGCGCCTGTTCTAAAGAAGGACATCATGGCACTGGAGAGGGTCCAGAGACGAGCTACAAAATTGATAAAAGGAATGGAGCATTTTAGTTATGAAGAAAGGTTACAAAAATTAAATCTGTTTCGTTTGGAAAAACGGCGCCTGAGAGGGGATATGATAACTTTATACAAATATATTCGGGGCCAGTACAAACCTTTATCTGGAAATCTATTCATAAACAGGGTTATACATAGGACACGAGGTCACACATTTAGGCTGGAAGAAAGGAGATTTCATCTAAGGCAAAGAAAAGGTTTTTTTACAGTAAGAACAATAAGGATATGGAATTCTCTGCCTGAAGAGGTGGTTTTGTCAGAGTCCATACAGATGTTTAAACTGAAATTGGATAAATACTTACAAAAACATAACATACAGGGATATAATTTCTAATTAGTGGGGTAATAGCTGCTTGATCCAAGGAGACATCTGACTGCTATTTTGGGGTCAAGAAGGAATTTTTTCCTAGTTTGTGGCAAAATTGGAAGTGCTTCAGACCAGGTTTTTTGCCTTCTTTTGGATCAACAGCAACAACATTTCTGAGGAAGGCTGAACTTGATGGACGCAAGTCTCTTTTCAGCTATGTAACTATGTAACTATGTAAGATTGGTTAATATACAGAAAAAGCGGATTGGCAGCATTTAAAAATGGAAACCTGGATATGCCGATTACTGATTGAGAAAGCTGATTCTGCAGATGAAAAGCAAAGATTACATTGTATTGCCTATATTGTTATATTTTATTAAATTGGTGTTTTATTTTGTATTTCATATTTCACTGGTAATAGAAGGTATTATACTTACCCACTCATCTGATATCTGGGTTCCAGAAGGGGGAGTGTCATCCCACAAATAGTCACTCACACTTTACATATTATTTTTTGAAGGAGTGGACACTGGGTGAGCATCTAACGGAGGAGGGAAGAGAGTACCACAGGAACAGTGCAGCCCTCGAGAAGTCTTAAAGGCGAGCATCAGAGGTGGGATTACGGACAGAAGATAGATGTAAGTCTTCAGCAGAGAGTAAAGGGCATAGTCGGGACATACTTGTGTATTAGGAAGGATAGATATGTGGTAGCAGCATTATGTAGAGATTTGAAAGCAAGAACCAGAATTTTAAATTGAGCCCTATATCTTACAGGAAACCAATGTAGGGATTGACAGAAGGGTGAGGCGTGGGAGGTGCGGGCGGACAGAAACATGAGCCTCGCCGCTGCATTCATTATGGACTGTAATGGCGCAAGTTGGGAGCACGTAAGACCACTTAGAAGCGGATTACAGTAGTCAAAGGACAGTGGAATGGACCAGCACCTTAGTCGCATCTGGCGTTAAATAGGGTCGGATGCGCGCAATGTTTTCGAGATGAAAACGACAGGATTTGGCAATAGACTGAGCATGAGGCTTAAAGGAGAGGTCGGTGTCAAAGAGAACACCTAGGTAGCACCATTGACTTGGAGGGAGACAGACACAGGAGTAACAACACATGAGGATGTCCTCATGCAAAGCGTTGTTTCACAGAGTTTAACAGGTAGCACCTGGGGCTGTCTAGAAGATAGGTACTAGAAGTGGAGTTAGCTTGCAATGCATGGGTCGTCAACCGGGTCCCTACCGCCCACTAGTCGGCGTTTCGGTATTCCAGGTGGGCGGTGGGACTTTGGAGCTTAAAACCTCCTTTTGAGCGAGCGGGTGGGTGGGCGCGCGCGTGAGCGAGCGCACACATCAAGAAACCAACATGCGCGAGAATGCGTGCGGTAGGATTTTCGGAGGTTAAAACCTCCTTTTGAGCGAGTGGGCGGGCGCAGGCGGGCGCGAGCGCACACATCAATCAACCTCCTTTTGTGCGAGAAGGGGTCGGGCGGGAGCGAGCACACGCAAACACGTGGAAAGAGGAAGGGGAGGAGTGGAAACTGATAGCAGGGTCAGGCAGAAGCAGGCAGAAACGGAGCAGAGCAGTTGCAAAAGAAAAGTTATAGGCAGGAGAAAGAGAATTGTTGGCTAATAATAATAAGTGGGCTAACTAGCTCAGCCTTACTTTTGTACCTCAGGAAGGTAAAAGAAAGGAGATAAAAAGGAAAAGATAAAAAAAATAACAAAAAAAGGGAAGAAAAATAGAAAAAATGGGATAAAATAAAGGAGGAGAGTAAGCAGTGTTTAGTCCTTTGTTATCTTATAAAATAAAAGAAAAAAATAAGTAAGGGAACGAGAAAATAAAAAAAGGAAAAAGAGATCCTTGATATAATGATATACTATAAGGAAGGTAAAGAAGAAGAAGGCAGGAAAAGGAATTTATTTTTATGGTGACACTTAATAAAAATTGGCACCTAATACAGCATTGTTTTTGGTGTTAGTAATAAAAGGGAAAAGAGGAGGGAAAAAACACTGTGTGGAGTGCAGATCAAAACGTAAGAATAAAAGTAGTTGTTAAATTGTGAAACAAATGTATGCTCTTGGCTATTTACCAGAGTATCTGAAGATGGGTTTCATTG